GGTTCCTGGTTGGGACAAATAAGGAGGGTGACCAATCAATATTTTCTTCTCACATCAATGTTTCTCTCTCTTTGAGGTGAGGATTAAATTTTAAAAAAGAAAGAAACCTGGTGCATCTATCTAGCCATGTGTTCCGTTTTTGTATTTTCTTAAGTTTTGTGGTTTACTTAATTTGGGTTTTGCAGTTTTGGAAGTTTATTTTAAGAGGCGTAATAGTTTTTGTGTCATCATCAATGGGATTTTTTGGCCATTTGTTTTCTAACTAATGTGTAGGACAGCTAGTTTATTGAATTCTTTTATAAGATCTAAAAATGCTTTCAAAGATTTTCCTGAATTTTCTAGGGAGACAAAGTTACTGATTTTGCAAAAGAACAAATCATTCTTACTTCCTATTCTTGTTCTTATAAGCTAGGACCTTCAGCAAAAGGTTGAATAAGGCCAATAGTAGAGAACACTGACTTTACTGGGGTTGCTCCTAACATTTCACCATTTAATATGATATTTTCTATAATTTTTAATGTGTACTCTTTATCAAATGAAGCTTTTTTCTAGTCTTAGCTGATTAAATTTATTATTAATAATGGGTGCTGAATGTAACCAAATATACTTAGTGAATAAATGGAAATGATTCCACAGTATTGACTGGGCTGTGTTAATTTCTGGAGCTTGGAGACCTCTTCCAGGCTCATGGGATTGTTGGCAAAACTCAGTCGCTTGTGGTTGTGAGACTGAGATACCTGTTTCTTTCTGGCTGTCACTTGGGGGCCGCTTTATTCTCCTAAAGGCCCCTGGAATTCCTTGCCACATGGCTTTTCTGAAAGATGTGTAACAACATGGTGGTTTGCTTCATCAAGACCAACAGGAGAATTGCTCACTCTGCCTCCTAGGATGGAGTCTTATCTAACATGAGCTAATAATGAGCGTGACCATAGTCTACTCTCTAGGAGGCTGTGTGCTGTATCCATCCCTATTCTATTCTGTTCTGCTCAACTCTGTTCACATTTGCCACACTCTATCGGTTAGAAATAAGTAACTTAAGGGGAGGAAACATATACCAAAGTTGTATACAAACCTGCACATATCATTTTCTCTCAATTAAAAAATAAGTCTTTATATTTGTGATCATATTCCTTCCAAAAAAATTTCTAAGGGGTTTTATTTGTGCCTTTATGTTTACTTAAATTTGTCAGATTGTATATTTTAAAAGAACTGTGTTTTTCTATAAAATTAAGTTCTGATTTATCATCCGTCCTTAAAATTTTTTTTAAATTTATTTTGATATTTTTCCTTGTGTTTTGATTTAAATGTTTAATTCATACTTACTTACCTCCACTCTTTCTAGTGTTCTAAGAAATGTATTCAATAGAAACCCACACATTTTCTTCCAATACTGCTTTGACTCGTTCCACAGGTTTTGAGAGTTCTTTCTTTCCATGTTGTTCATTTCTAAACAGTTTGGACGAGGAGAATCACAAGAGAAGCTGCAGGAGAGGAGCCTCATAGGCCATGTTAAGAGTTCTAGATGCTCCTTTCTGCCTCAGACTACGTTTTTGTTCCTTTCTCTCTCATTTTCTATGGGTTTTTTGCCCCGGTAATCTCTGTCTCTGCTTTCCTTCTCTCCCCCTGCTTTTCAGACAGCTATCTCCCTCCAGTCTGAGAGTTCAGGGAACTGATAAACTCTTCCACAAATGGCTTGCCGTCCCGAGGACCTGCCTTTTAAAAGTGTATACAGGCAGAAAAGAGGAGAAAAGTACCCATGCAATGAAAGAAGTGGGTGGGTGAAATTGTAAAATTCTAAACCAAGATGGAAATAATGGAGTAGGAAGGAGAGTAAGACAAGTGGTGGACTTCTGGCATCTCTAAGATGCTGTAATTAGGGAAACTGGTCATGTTGCTTTATATACAAGGCAGATTCATACTCTTGCTCACGGAGGCTTCTCAGATACAGAGAAGATGAGAGGCTGGGAACATAAGAATTGCCTCCCTGGGCAGAGCTGACCTGGCACATTAGTGTCAAATTTACTAGTGAGCTACCATGGCTCTTAGGCAAACCTGAGAGAAAGAGTACTACTACCCAAACGGGTTGGTTTTATTCTTTCAACAATTAGGTAATTTCATTGGAATATAAGCTCCGTGGAGCTGAATGAAGGATACAGTAGGTCCTCAGGTTACGTCGGAGATCCATTCCTACGGCACGACTTAATGTGATTTTCGCCGTAAGTCGGCACCCACCTACATAAGCACCTACGTCACTCACATGGAGCACATACAGAGCAGTAATGAAGTGAAACAGTAAAAAAAAAATTTAAAAGAAAGATAACAATTCCTGACCTTTACTTGTGGTAAATAAATAAAAAAATAAAGCACATATGTATATACGTCGAAATGATGGAGCTTTTTCTTTTAATAAATAAATGGGAGATGGCGACGTAATCATGAAATTACGCATGTCGTCCGACGTAACCCGAGGACTGTCTGTACTGGGCATTTTCTCCATCATTCTATCTGTCTTTTACTACATGATCATAGCTACATCGGTATATATGCATATTCTGAAGATGATGACTATCGTGGGCAGAACAATGCCCATCCCTGCCCTCCCCACTCCCCATCCCCCCCAAAGATGTCTACCTCTTAATCCCAAGAACTTGCAAAAGGTACTTTGCAGATGTGATTAAGGTTCTTGAGATAGGAAGATTATTCTGGATTTATTCATGTTAGATCCTTGTAATCACAAGAATATTACAAAGGAAAGAGGGAGACAAAGAAGTCACAGTCAAAGAAGATATGAGGATGAAATTATGCAATTACTGGCTACCAAGAAATGTTGGAAGTCTCCGGTGACTTTCACAAGGACTCATTTTTGAAAGCAAAGAGAACCTGTTTAGGGTCTGGATTCCACCTCAGGGGACTTGCCTGTCTTTGGGTTCATTTGAGATTTACTTGACATTCAGTTCCTATTGTGTGCCGAGCACTGTTCAATGTGAATACAGCTGTAAACAAAATGCATAAAAACATCCTTTCCTCATAGAACTTACATTCTAATGTGTTGGCAAGACCCTGGATCTATTTTATTTGTATCCTAAGGTATTCTGCAAAACGCACCTATCATAACACTCCTTTCAGACAGATGCTTAATTCTGAGCAGCCAAGCTGGTTGGAGACCTGACTTTGACCCTTAAGCCCAGGGGCATTCTGAATTCAGACTTCCTCTTAATTTATGTTTTGACAAGAAGAGCTGGGTTTATGCATTTGTGGTTCAAGTGTTAATTCCATGATGATTCCCAAGGGGTGAGAGCCAATTGTGCATTTCTGGTGGAGTGCCTCTGCCTTGTCTTTGGTTCTTTGCAGGCCTGAGCAGCACCAGGCCAGACCTAGGCAAAGCCGCTGGCATAGGTTGGAAGGTCCATCAATATTTAATCCGAACTCTACATAAAGGTGGTTAATTCAAGGAATTCTTTATGTGGTAATCCCCACAGCAACCTACACTTCCTGTCACTTTTGTCTAACATTACTTTTCATGCTGCCAGAAATGTGGTGGAATGTCCATGAAGATCGTTTTTCACTTTTAAAATATTTTAACAGACAATGACTTGAATTGCTACCATAATTTTTGAAGCTCATGGACACAATGAGGTCGATGAAAATTTGGAAATATGAATACCTGGGCTAAGAAGCAGTTCGGAGCTTGCTTACGTCGCAAAGATGGAAATCTTGGAGTAGCCTGCCACCTTCAGGATAACTTACCAACTAACCGTATACCAATCCCAGTAAAAACTCTTCACAATAATCAATGGTGGAAGCTAGGGTCCTTGTAATACATTTGTTACGATTAAGTATAGTTAATAATGACAGTAGTTTTCTTTAAATAAAACTGCCCTTTCTTTACTGTAATTCTTTTCTTAAAAATTATTACTTCAATTAGATTATCTTTACCTGGACTCTTTCTTGTGTTTAAGCGATTAAAAAACAAAACAAAACAAAGAAAACACAACCAACTTCACTTTGCTGAGCATATCTGGGAACACCAAAAACATCTTTGCAGCCACAGTCTGTGAAATATTGTAGCTTTGGAAACCCTGCTACTTCCTGGTAGGTTCTTTAATATGGACTAATGGCAATCTTTAATAAATAAAATCAGCAACGGTGATCCATTCAGAAATGGAAGGAAGGGAGAGGGAGAGAACACAACACCCCTGTATTTTTTTTCCTGTTTAATTGGCTGTTCCTTCCACTAAGTTACACGGTTTCTCTGGCTTAAAAAGAAAGGAGTAATGCAGGGAAAAACGGGAATGACGCGGTGACTCAGCACTTAATAGAATGGACAAATAACGCAAATTAATATAAAAAATAAAGAGAAAAGAAAGGGCAGCATAAGTGAAAGCAATAAAATTAGGTCAAAGGAATTACAACAGCGGGATGTAAAAAAATCAAAAGGAGAGAACACGGTGGCTCAGAAATGCACCACGTAAGGGGACAGAAAAATAAGGGGTATTTAAATAAGAATGACAGAGAACAAATATTCATCCAAAATGAATGCACGCTCACGACGTTCCTTTCACAAAGGCAGGAAAGGGCATTTTCCGAACCTTCCTTTATCCGGGTGCAACTAATGCCATCGCTACTGGCTCCTCTTTCGCGGCACGAACCCGTGAAAGGACTTCAAGGTCAATTTCCTGTGACTTCCTCCACTCGTCCTGCAACTTTGGAATCACGTGGGAAGCTTGAGCCAATGCCGGGCCTCTCCCCAGAGGCATGAAATCAGAAAGCGTGCGCGGCCTGGAACTGTTTTAAAGCTTCCCGGGTGTCTCCACAGCGGAGAACCAGCGTGAGCCCCGCCCCTCCGCCCGTGAGCCCCGCCCCCGCCGGAGCTCCGCCCCCCATCCCGTGAGCTCCGCTCCCCGGCCCGTGAGCCCCGCCTCGGAGAGCGGCTCTCCTTTTGCTTCATTGGAGGCGGTGGCGCGGCGTGAGCCCTCCCGAACGCTAGGGGGCAAACGGCGCCCGCTCAGCTCCCGTTCTCCGGGTCGATCCCTGCCTTGCGCATGCTCGGTGTGTCCCGAGGTCGCCCTTGCCGGGTTTCCCACGTGCAGCGTGAACCTGAGGTCATCATGCTGTGAAGAGATGGGAGCCGCGGTGGTTCGCGCGATCAGGAACTTCAACCTGGAGAACCGGGCGGCCCGGGAGATCAGCAAGGTGAAGCCCTCTCCCGCCCCCAGGCACCCCTCCACCAAGAGCCTCCTGCGGGAGCAGTTGAGCGGTAAGTGGTGCGAAGGCGCGCGGGGCCGGAAAACGCCGCCGTGGTCCTCGCCGGCGTTTTGTCCGCCAGGTTGGCCGCTGGCGACGGGGACCCCTGGGCAGCGGAAGTGTTCGGCAGGTGTCTCCGCAGAGCGACCCAGCGTGCTGGTTTGCTGTAAAATACTTCCCGTACTGCTCCAGCGAGTGTTTCTGAACACAAATAGCGACTGTCGTGTGTTAAGTGTTTAGGGACTCAGAGGGCATTCTTACTTGGTTTTAATTTTGTTGACATTCTTTTTCTTTCCTTAGACCAAGCGGATATTAAGGGAGAAATTGGTAGGAAAGATGACAAATTGCTGTCATTACTGAGAGATGTGTACGTTAATTCCAGAGATCCGGTGTCTTCTGCGCAGGTAATGTGTGTTTTCATTCAGTAAAGAATTCCACCTTTTTGGACTCCAGGACAGCTATCGCAGAAGTGTGGCAGGTAGTAAAAGGGAGTGAGGTGCTCTGCAGCTGTGACCTGTCAGTGTGGTCGCGACCAGAATACAGCGCACTGGGGTCTAAGCAAGGCTCACAGGCCTCGGTGCATTGGATATTTACCAAAATTCCAAAAGATTTGTGAAACTATTGATTGAATGCAGCTGTGTGGATTATTTTATATCATTTCAGAATTTGTAAGATTTGGCAAGGTACTTGTACTGGTTGTCCATTTGAATGACCAAAGGAGAGCTTTAATACTGTTTTCTTGCCCAGCTCACGTGGCTCAGTGGTTGAGCCTTGACCTATGAACCAAGAGCTCACAGTTGATTCCCCATCAGGGCACCCGCCTGGGTTTTGGGCTCTATCCCCAGCAGGAGGTGTGCAGGAGGCAGCCAATCAATGATTCTTATCATTGAAGTTTCTCTCTCCCACTCCCTTTCTCTCTGAAATCAATAAAAATATATTTATTGATTTACCCTTCAGTGTATTGAGGTATGTTTTAATTTCAGGGATTCTTTTAGTGGTGTATTGGTGGTGTTTGTTTGATTTTTAAGAATATGTTCCGATAGGTTACGTAGAAGAATACATTGAGAATGGGAACCTATGTGTAAATCCATATATAAATGCCAGATATAAGCGCATCGTATATAGTGATGAACGAAATAAACGTAGTCCTTGTTCTCACAGTGCTTATAGTATCAGGAGGGACATAGGCATGAAACAATGAGCAACTACAGTACGTAATTACTGATATGAAGGAGAAATATAGGCACTGAGTGTATCAGGAGGACTTGTTTGAGACTGGAGGATCAGGGATGGTTTCTGAGGAAGTGACATGCAGGCTGACACCTGAGGGATACATGGGAGTTAACCAGATGAGTCTGTGGGTGATTTTAGGTTCTAAGTAAGGGGAAGAGTTTGATTAAAGAAGTGGCAAGTGCCAGTGACAACTTCCAGATTTTTTTCCGTTCTAAAATTCTCTTGTTCTGTCTCTCTCTGGATAGGTAATAGACTGACAAAGATACAGTTATTAGTATACTTTTCAATAGAAAAGAAAAATAAAGCTCATGTGTAAAATAAAGTTTGTACATTATTACATGTAGTAGAAGTTACTGGGTTTAGGTATCACCAAATGCTCACATAAAAAAGATAATAGGAGTTGATGTTCATGTTCTTTGTTATTTTTAGGCAGGTATTGAATAATACTTCCATAAACGTTGTTTCTCTCATGTTAAATCATGCATTTGAAAATTGGCTTTTGGAGAGCAAAAAAAAAAATGATTTTACATGTAAAACACGATATATAGATACAATGCATAAAGAGATATATATAGGGGTGACAAAATTTAAAGGGGTTATTAGGAAAGTCTAAAAAGGTTCAAGGGAGAGTGATAAAAGGTTGAAGGTACCTATTTATGTTCTTTGTCCCTTTTTTCTTTCTGGCAATTCATTTGTGATGTCTCTAGACATCAGTGATACTGTGCCTATCATATATCAAATAATTACTTTTAAATTAATTAATTAATTGTCTTATTGTTTTTTACAGAGAGAGGAAGGGAGAGGGAGAAACACTGATATGAGAGAGACACATAGATGGGCTGCCAGGGTTTAATAAGGACAGTTTTGAGAGTGGGTTAGGAGAGAACAAAATGTGTTTTATCGCGAGAGAATACCAGTTAAGAGGCTTTTGCAGTAATTTCTTCAAGAGACATTGGCTTGGACTAAGGTGATTTAGTAACTAGGAGAGAAGTGAATGGCTTTGAGAAGGACTTAGGAGGCAGTATTCATTGGATTTGGTCACTGATTGGATACTATGAGTGAGGGAGAGGGAGGTGTCAGGTATAACATGACATAAGAGAAGCTTTGAATTTTGGAATGGGATATGGGAGGTAGGTAGTGTTAGTCACTGAGATAGAGAATATGGGGCTAGAATTAGGTTTTCGGAGGAAAGGGATAAGTTCAGTTTTACATATGTTGATTTTGCGGTGCCTGTAGATTATCTAAGTAAAGATGCCCATTAGGCATTTGGAAATTTGGGTCTGGAAATAAGGAGAAAGTCTAGGTTAGAGGTCACATTTGAAAGTAATTAACATGTAGGTAGTAATGAAACTGAAGGTGGCATGTGGGATTACTTAGGAAGAGTAATAGAGTATAGGGTGAAAAGAGGGCCCAGGTCAGAACTTGGGGCACACTAACATTTAAGGGGCAGCTGAAGGGAAGGAGTCCACAAAGAAAACAAAGAAGGAACCACTGGAGAGAAAGATGGGAAAGTAGGAGAAGGGTGGCATTGAAACCAAGCTTCAGGTGCTCTCGTGAGTTCACATAAAGCCTGAAAAGTGTCTTATGGATTAGAAATTTAAAAAAAGGAATTATTTTTGTAAAGCTTAACCAGAAGGAAAAAAACTGGTCATAAAGGATATTTTGGGTTTGGGTTTGTGGATGTTTTTAAAGGTGACTGCAGCATTTTTGCATTTGGACCAAACAGCAGCATTAGGCAGGATACAAGTGAAAGCCAGAGGAAAAAAGGGAATGAACGCTTGGCATAGTAGGTAATGAATGAAATAAATACAGAGCACAAATTCAAGGATTAAGCTTGGATGGTACAGCTTCGATTTAATGGACTAAATTTCTAGTCCATACATCATGCAAAGATTAATATCCTATTAACTTTAAAATGCTTTTAACCAAGATTTACTTATAATCAAATTAATAGGCTTTTTTTGCTTATTCACTGTTATTTTTAACAAATTTTAGTGACAAGGCCATATGCTGGAAAAAACACTATAGTAATTTCACTGACATACATAAATATTACATATCTGCAACTGTAGTTTACATATTTAAATCCAAGAGTCACAGCTCGGGATGATCGCACTTCATCACTGGAGGTTGTGGTTCTGTTATTTGTGGCATGACTTTCTGCAGCAGTTTTAAGGAGTGAAGGCCGATGTTCCCATGTGAGCTAAGCCACGCCCCAGCCCTGTGCATTTGTTTGCTCAAGGTGACCGGTTGATGCACACATTTACTAGACCTATTCAGTATAAATTTAAAATTATAGTAATACATATAAAAAACTTTCCTGTGAAATTAACCTTTTCATACATGCTTAATTTAAATTACACATGTCTACATAAGTAAAAATAGGTAAACTAATTTGTCAATTTTTTAACATACGTATTCAGAAAATCTACTTTACTGTATAATGGACTTTCGGCTTTAACAGACACCTCCTCACCCAAATTAGCCTGTTATAGCGAGGTTTTACTGTACAGACAGGTGAAAAGATGGGTGTGCATAAAATGTTTTATTTATGTTTGTTGGAGTATTAAAAGCATTTGTTTATTTTCTCTGAAAAGGGAAAATCTCTGGCAATATTTAAATTCATTCCCCATGTTTGGAGGCATTGAATATGAAATGCAAAGCTTAAAATATATCAGAATGGAGATCATCAAGTAAACTTAGGTCAGTGTCAGAGTCCTGCCCTTCTAAAGCAGTCTTAACCTAATCCAGTTGTTCTTTTAATATTCTATACAAATGAAATAATGGGAATAGATGGTATACATTCGAGTATTATTTTCTAGAATTACCTGAATTTCTTCATGATGGTTGAGCTATAGTGATTAAATGGTGATGTGATTGCCATTGAACTGTGGCTCATCATAATGAGAAAATTTAGTTTAGAGAAGCATATGTAGTATTTACTTGAAGAAGAATAGTGGAGATTTGAGAAGCATGTCTGTAGATGTCAAATCTTTTCTCTCGCCTTGAAAGCCTTTTTGTTTGTTTTTGTCTTTTGACACTAGGACAAAGATGCTGGAACACCTCAAGAGCCAAAGGAGTTCAGGTTGCCGAAAGGCAATCATTTTGACATAAATATTGAGAACATTCCCAAAGGCAAAGTTTCCATTGTAGAGGCTTTGACACTTCTCAATAATCATAAACTTTATCCAGATACATGGACTGCTGAGAAAATAGCAGAAGAATACCATCTAGAACAGAAAGATGTAAATTCCGTTCTCAAATATTTTGTTACTTTTGAAGTCAAAATCTTCCCTCCTGAAGACAAGAAAGCAATTCAAGCAAAATGAAGGAACTCTTGGAATTACTTTTCCTATCCCCATGCCCTGTTTATTTTCTCATTTTTAGCATATTACATTATATAAATTACTGAATGTTTAAAGCTCCCTCCTCCTTATGAGTGCATCCTATTTATTGACCTCTGCTGATAGAATAAATTTTGTTTTCAACTTTAATTGGTTTAGGCATGTATGTATGCGGGTGTAATGTTAGCATGACTAACTAGCAGGTATATAAATTTATTGCACATAAAAGAGTTAATTTTAAGTGTTATTTTAAGCATATCAGCATTTAAGTTGGTCATATGACCTCTTAGGAAATGTCCTGAATCACTTATTTGACACTTAAAGTTTAACTTTCTAATTCAGGTGGTTAGTTTATTCTTCCTATGGAATAGTGAAAGTAAGAGCTTTCCTGACTCTTATGACTGACATTTTCTTGTTAGGGAAAGGGAGGCTTGACAGTGAGGTAGAACAACAGTATTTCCCAACTAAAGGCAGACAGGAAACTGGATACAAAACCAATAGAAAATACATTTTTATTACTACAGGGAATAAGAATTAGGTCTTTTAAAAATTTAATTTTGAAATAACTTAAAATTATAAAAAAGAATTAGTGTTTTAAAATTTTAGCAAATCTGTACTTTGACAAGCAAACAGGTAAGTCCAAGAGCTTTCATAGAGGCAGGCAGTAGTGGAAGTCATCTGAAAAAAGAAAACAAAAATTCTTTGGATTTACTATGAAAATACAAGAAAAATTTAAAGAATGGTTAAATCAAAGAACCATGATAAATTTGATGACCAGATATACATATTTTGTCATTTAAATGCTGGTTGAAAGAAAATAGCAAGTAGAAGCATAAAATGTTATCACTGGAAGGGACCTGGGAAATTGTTGCTGCATTTAACAATTTTTTAAAAAATATATATTTTATTGATTTTCACAGGAAGGGAGAGGGACAGAGTTAGAAACATTGATGAGAGAGAAACATCAACCAGCTGCCTCCTGCACACACCCTACTGGGGTTGTTCCCGCAACCAAGGTACATGCCCTTGACCAGAATCGAACCTGGGACCTTAGAGTCCGCAGGCCGACGTCCTATCCACTGAGCCAAACCAGTTAGGGCGCATTTAACAAATTTATGAGCACAACACATACTTGTACTAGGGTCTTGAGCAAAACTGTGTAAGTTCAACTCTGTTATGTTATTACATGTGAGATTTTGGCTGGATTGTGTAAACTCTTTGAGAATGATTTCTTCTATAAATGATTGTAATGCTGTCTTAACTCTAAGGGTTACTGTGAAAATAAAAATAATAAAAGATAACAAATATGACTTTCTTGACCTATTTACAATTATGACATAGGCTTAGAATTTAGGTTTTCACAATCCTGTTGTATTTTTCTGCTGTTCCAATAAGCATATCTCAAAAGGGCATAAGGTGTATATTGGGAAATATGGTAAGAAAAATTCCAGGTTATCACTGTCTTTCTGAAGGAAGATAGACATTCATTACTTCCCACTTAGTCCCTTAGAAATAGTGTAAGAGACGCAGAGGCCTTCAGCATGATTTTGGAATTAGGCATTTTTAATACTAAGAGCAAAATTGACAGATGGGAATTTTAAGCATGTTTTTAAATGCAGTTTCATTATGTGACTATACCTAGTTTAATTAAAAATAGTTCTTTTTAAGAAAAGAATTCAGTATAAAATTATATTTTAAAACTCTGGTAAATCATCAAAACTGCTATCCTTTATCAAATAAAGATCAATACTGGAATCACTAATACTGCTATTTCTGAGCCATTTTTCCTATTCAAATCTATACTGTGGTTGGGCAGCTGTAAAAATGTGGTGGTTATGTGGTGTCACATGATAAAATAAAGTACTTCCCATATCATTCATTGGCCTATTCCTGTTTTTTATTACATATAGGAGAGTGTTTGGGTAGTAGTGGTATCACAGAAAGAGTGGAGTTGGACCCAGAAAACCTGCCTATAGATCTCAGCAACACCACTAGCCATGTGATCGTGGAAATGTCCTTGACTGTAAAACAGGTAATACTAACATCTTAAAAGCAATTCTTGTACTAGGTACTTTATTAGCTTGCTTAATATTTACCACAGGTAGAGGATAAGTACTGTTAACCACATTTTACAGGGAAAATTGAAACAGATCTAAAGTAACCTTTCAAAGCTACCCTCGTAAGTGTTGGAACCTGCATTTAAACTCTAGTATGATGATTTTCAACTCTTTTCATCTCATGGCACACATAAACTAATTACTAAAATTCTGTGGCAAACCCAAAAAATATATTTTTTCCTGATCAGACAAGAAAAATTGTTTTAATTTTGATTGATTTATAAAAATAAGTAATTACCTACCCTTTTTGCTCCAAAGTGACTTTAAAAATCAGGTGCTAACTTACACCTTACACAAAAATAAACTCAGAATGGATAAAGGACTTATCAACAAAACAACAAGAAAGCCCACTGCATGGGAGAACATATTTGCAAATATCACCGATAAGGGTTTAATCTCCAACATTTACAGGGCACTCATGCAACTTAACAAAAGGAAGATAAACAATCCAATACAAAAATGGGCAATGGACCTAGATACTTTTCGAAAGAGGACATACAGAAGGCCGAATGACATATGAAAACATGCTCAAAGTCACTAATTATACGAGATATGCAAATCAAAACAATGCGTTATCATCTCACATCTGTCAGAATGGCTATCATCAACAAATCAAC